GCAGGCAGGACAAGAGGTGGGAGGGTTTCCTTCTTTCCCGGTGTGTGAGCTGGAGCACCATCCAGGAAGGAATAGATCCAGGTTTGACTCCTTCCTCTGCCAGAACAGGTTCAAAGCTTTCCCTTCCAACTGCAGTGGACTGTAGCTATCCGATTGCGGGGGGAGAGGGGCTCGCCGCTTTTCCTGCAGGAGCAGAGGGGCTGGGGTCCTCATGTGACGGGAGTTTTTGCTGGTTCTGTTTCAGGATCATGAAATAATCCTTGGATAAAACACATATCTGAACTCTGTCCAGTGGGCTTGGGCTTGGCTCTTGGGCACGGGGCAAAGCTTTGGATTGTGCTCCTCCTCCAGTGTGCCGATTAGATAATAAACAGGATGCAGGAACCTGGCGTGCGGTCAAGGGACATAAATCCTGTGGTCCTGGAGGTCACCGTCTTCTGAGACGGAAGGAACTAACTCTGCCTAAAAGCAGAGTTTCAGAATTACTTGTGCTGACTCACCACGTTAGTTCCCCACCACACTGACCTTTTATCGCTTGACAGTGGTTGTCACCGATTCCACTACCTTAATGCCTTTCTGCAAGTACGAAGGGTTAATATATGAAGTAGTTTTAGTTTGTATATGGCTTTTTGGACTATATTAACCCATTCTAAATATCCTGTTTCATTGTTACTAATCAAGTCTGTCTTCAGCTGTGCAGGTTTACTGCCAATTTAAAACAATAAATGGAAAGAAGCAGCAACGAGGAGTTAAGTGCGGCCTGAGCTGCAGAGGGGCTGAGCGTGCGGCAGCAATCCTGAACTTTGGGAGCACAGGCAGCCAAGCCCCTTCTGGAAACAAGACCTCGTACAGGTATGCTAGTGTTCCTCACTTCACCTTACGGGGGCAGGCCCTGTCTTGTGAAAGGCATATCCCTCTGAATCATCCTTCCTTTTCAGACTTTGCTCCAGCAGTTCATCAGGTTTGAAAATTTTGTTCCAGTTGTAATGAATGAGGTGAAGAAAATCAGTGCATTTGAATGGTTTCATCCAGTATCTGCGTAGGTCTTAGCTCAGACCTCCAGCAAAAGCAGCAGCTTAGACTGATTTTGGGGTTTTTGGAGGTTGTTCCTTTTTTACCACTGAAAAAGAGAGAAAGGAAAACATACAGAATTAAGAGTTATTTTCAAAGGCTTTTGGTACCAGAGACCTTTACATTCCAGAGTGGACCGAGAACCAAACCCCAGTGGTACCATTAAGAATGTTTCAGCTGAGGATGAACTGTGTGTAGGACGCTGAGTGATGACGCTGAGTGGTAACGCTGAGGAGCTGAGGTTCAAAGAGCAGAGCTGCGGTGTGGGGGTAACAGGAAGATGAAAGGCTTGAATGGATAGAAGGCCTGAGATTTGCTGGGCTTTACAGAATGTAATTAACTTGTAATCCCTACTTTGATCTGATACAGTTCCGCTTAACTGGTGGAGTCTTGCTTTGCAGTTTCACATCTGATAGTTTGATGCTGAGGATGAACTCTCCCACACAGGAGAGAATGCTAGCCGTCTCGTCCTGATGGAAGATGTTTCTGCAGCACCACTGAGTCACTGAACACCGTGTGCTTCTCCTCATTTCTGGCTACGCGCCCGCTGCAACTATCTAGGCTGTGTCAGCACACCGTGGTATTGCGTTAGCTGGGACCAGCGCTCTCCAGTGCTGCTCCAGGGTCACTGCTGTGATGTCTGTGAGTTGAATTGCTACAGAGACTCTCTCTTCACACTCACATCCTTAGCGGACCGAGCTTTAACCTATCCTTGATCAGGCAGAAAGGAAAAATCTAAGGAATCTCGGGGAAGGGGGCTGGGGAGACAGGACTAACTTTTGTAAAAAGCAGTATAATTGGTAAATCTGACAGCTGAAAGGTGGGTGAGTGAGCAGCCTTTCGTTGGTGCAGTACGTTCTCTAGCCAGCCACTACAGCCGGGTGTAATCCAGAATCAGCAGAGTGGGTGGCTGAGCCTGGGGCTGGATGGTGGAACAGCCGAGGCAGCAATGCTGTCCAGACTCGCTGCTTACTCTGCCCCCACTGGCTGCCAGCTGCTGTCATCTTTTCATGTAGCCTATAGTCCAAATCAGCTGCACACGCGTAAATTCCCCGTGTCATGGCGTCACCATGTGCTAACAAAGGTTTGCTGTTGTACTGTAACAGCGAAGCCTGGGCCACTGTTTCTGTGTACTGGCACGTGCCTTAATCTGCACAGCATTGTGTATAAAACCTCACGCTGATGCAAAGCAAATGCTTTATTACCACTGTTTTTTAAAGAGATGACATACCACTATAGGAAAGAAATCCGGGACTAAGCTAAGCCTGACTGTTCAGGTGCTACAAGCACTAATGGCTGAGAAGACATACAATCTGTGAGCACACCCCCGGGCTGCAGGAGTTGCATAAACTTCAGGTCAGCTGGAGTTGTGCAAATGAGAACAGTGCAGCGCCCCTGAAATTCTCTGTTTATAGAGAGGTTTCCATGTGGAAAAATTGTTAAACCCATTCAGAAACTGTCTTTTTACGCAGGAATCATTCATCTGGTAATGGGAGTAAAGTGGCTGGAAAATTCTGAGCTGTTCAGAATTGTTCTTCTCATGGATCCTTGAAAACTTGCATGGTGCAGCAGAAAATTTACCTAAATTTCATCCTAAAATACTGTTTTTTGAAGAAAAAGACTTGGTTATTATTTGAAAGTAGGATTTTCAAATCAGACTTATTGTTCTATCATTATGGGATTTTGATATTGGAAAAATACGGGACGGAAAGCCTCCTGGGCAGGAGGAGCTGTGAAACCCGAGAGAGGCAGCTGTGGGGGGTACAGAACCTCAGCGTCACACAGCCTGTAGCCTGAGCTTCTCCATATCGCATCCTCCATAACAGCTTTTGAGTGGATTTATCGGTAGGTTTCCTAAGCCTTGCACTTCGGTCTGCAGTGCACCAGTAAATCTGGGATTAAAGGAAAACTTGTTTGTGTACAAAACTTTGTGTACAAAATATGGTGTATTTAACCTGTGGCTCATTTTAATGGTGTCAGTTATAAATAGGTTGTGCTGGGATATTTTGGAGAATTTTTCAGCACTACGCTCGGATGCACCTTAGCTGCCAGGTAGGGCATTCAGGATCCCAGGATAACTGATGTGAGAGGGAGCCGCAGGCGGCTCTGGCCTGAGCTCCTGCTGCATGCAGGGTCAGCCAGGAGCCCAGGCTGGGCTGGTCAGGGCTTGGTCCAGCTCGTTTCAGCTGGCCTCCCATCTCCTGCCCTCCGCCAGGCACCAGCGGGAAGGGCCTGGCTCCGTCTCCTCCACAGCCTCCTTGCAGGTGCTGGCTGGAGGTGCCGGAATCCATCGCCTCCCCTCAGTCCCTTCTCACAGGGCTCCAGCCCCAGGCCAGCTTGACCTTTGGGGTCCATCTTGTCCGGAGAGGCCCCCAGTTGGCCACAGGACCCCCAGCACAGCCTAGCCATCAGCAGACGTAGTCACGTCTCAGAGCCCAGACCGACGGGCGCAGGCTCAGCCGACCAGTCAGAAAAGCACAGCGTGTGCACGCACAGAGGTGTCGGCCTGAAGTTCAGAGATGAACGGAGCTGTGCCGTTACTCCCAAGGTTTCCTTACATGGCAGGAGGTGGGCACGCCGTTGTTCAGCCTTTAAACTGCCCAGGCGTTAACATCCGAGCGCGCCAACAGCCCGCAAGGAAGGTACTGGGCGAGCGGGTCCTTCTCGGCGGGGGGGCGCCGCGAGACCGGGCCACGCGCGGAGGGGGAGAGCAGGAGGCCCGGGTGAGGCACCTGCTGGAGATTTCAGTCCTAAAGGGAATGCGTTGGTTCTGGGCTGCAAGCTGTGAGGGCGTACGGGCTGTTGTTGGCTTGCTTCAAACAAGAGTACAGAGAATGTCAGTTTTGTTCTCTCTCCAGTAACATAATGTCTACCAGTGTGGGAACTGCATCATAAAATACACTTCATTGCCTGTACTCTGTGCAAGTTACTTGATTGGATATTGGTAAAGAGATACTGAATTACAGAGAATCCAAGGACAGAACTTCAGAGGTAGCAGAAAGGAACGCTTTACCCGCGTCGGTTACAAACCGCGCTCAGTATGCTTTGCTGTATGAATTTTCAGCCAGGATACATAACTGCTTGAAATAAATGTTTGGCTTTACCATCTTGGTGCAGCGCTCCCTCTGAAAAGGGCCAACAGCAGCTCGGTGAAACTGCAGCTCCAGCGAGCATGCGGGCATGGACAGCTGCAGGTGGACAATCCAGCCATAGCACAGCTCGGATTTTGTGCTGGGGATGTAGCGTGGGATGCTGGTTTTGCCTCCCTGAGGAGGTTTTTTTTGCACTATGTGAAAAGAGAAGACTTAAAAGATTATTTCCTGCATGGAGTGTTCCTTCTGTAGGGAGAAAGGAATCATGATTCTGACCGGTGCCCCTGTGCCCACCCCTCAGGAACACAACCTGCTGAGGTGACAGCACGTACCAGGGTCTCACGGGGTGATACTGCTTTATTATTTCCTCACACACAATTTAAGCAAAATGGTTAAGGAGGAGCAGCGATACAGAATCCACGGTGCGCTTCACGTCGTATGCCTCCTAACAGAACACCTACTTTCTTCAAAGGGGGAAGAATGTACCAGTAGGATTTCAAAACTGTCACCATTATTTTTCTACTTTGGTAAATCTGAGTTTTTACAGCTGCTACCTGCAGCTCTCAACCGCATCCGGTGTGTTCTGCCCACTGTCCTCACTCCACTCATCTTCCTGCTACCGGTGAAACCCAAAAAAGTAGTTTCCATTTCCCCCACCACAGATGCTCAGGACACCAAGGAAACACTCGACATCACCCTTGCAGTTAGGCCGCTTGGACGTGGCAGAAGGCTCCTCCCGCTCACGTGCGCGTTAGACACCACAAGGTGCAGCGCAGTACATCACTGAGGTATGCTGATTTCTGCTTTTCTCAGCTTGCTGCCTTCTTTTCTTACAGCCTACAAGTTCGGGTTTATCATCCCCACTCCTTGGCACTCGATGATGTAGGTATCTTTAAAAAAAAAGATTTCGTCACAGTAAATTTGGCCTAAAACAGGATTAGAAATAGATCACTAATTAAATTACAACATAACAAGTTTAAATATTCAATACCTGACCCCGATGATCGTATCGCCATGTGCTGATGTACATTTATGTACATTACAGCTTTGACTCATGTCATTAAAAACCCTTTAAGGTCCCTTCCAGCCCAAACCATTCCATGATTTCCGTAAGGTATACGGCTGTTCTCAGGGCACTTAACTCCACGTTCAGTTGCTAGGGGTGAACTCCCGCAGAAGTACTGCTCAGCTCACAGCGCCCACTAAACTGCCCGTCACTCGTTACCGGGTGGCAGCCGACGGGGAAAACCTCCCGGCCTCCAGCCTCACCTTCGTTAGCTGCTCGGCAAAGTGTATCGCCGTCTGAGTATGAAGTGTAATTGGTCCACTTTTCACTCTCGACACCCCCCGTGCCAGCGCCATAAAAATGATCAGCTGGAAGGGAGAGAAAGGCAATTATGAAGTAACTCTTCAGTTCCTAGGAACTCCATGATTTAAAAGGAGAAAAAACATGCAAAATGCCTGTAGACATACAAATGTGGTCTGCCAAGTTTACAGGAGTTCCTGAAGCTGAGTGTTGGGTGATCCAAGGCCCAAGAAGCTTGGAATGACTACTGCTGTGCCTGTTGCTGAAGGGCTGCTACGTTTTCACAGTGGAGTTTGCCACTGAATTCCCATCACTACATTTAAATTTGCTCTCCCCCACTCTCCTGCCCCCAAATTCCCCAAAGCTGTGGCAGACTCAGGGTTGGTAGATTACCTTTATGCAGAGAAAAACACAGGAAGAGGTACTTTAATTCCACCACTCCCTGATCACTTTTTTGCCAGACAGATTTTTAAACACATCTGATTTGGTTCACAGACATCACGGGGACAAATACTCTGTGAAGCGCGACACAGCTCTGAGCAGCTCCCATCACCGAATCCAGCCATGGCATGTTTCCTCCAGCTGGACCCTGCACGCTTTGGGAAGAGCAGGATGAGCCCAAGACCTCAGTACTTCCCGTTGCACTGCACAACAGCCCTGCACGGCCGGACGCCCGCAGCCAAGATGTAACATCCTATCCAGGACAGCCCAAGACTCTGACCAGGTTGTGTTACTGGCAACTCAGACACTGGGGTGTCTTCATTCCCAACTGGAATTAGGCAGCAGGACCGCCAGGAGCACCTCCTAGGTAGTCTGTTGTCTCACAGCTTCACCTTCGTTCCTAGTGTGTGACCAGGGAGCTATTTTCACTCCGCTACTTGGACTGAAAATACAAGCGAAGTCCTACCTCGTTCTTCCATACCTACCGAGATTTACGGGAAGGGAAAACCTAAGGGTGTTGGTGCCAAGTCAGGATCATCTGTGGTTCCCAAGAACTGTATGGGATTTGCTAATCCCAGTGACGTGAAACACCCAGAAACCTCCTAAAACTCTCCATTATCAAATAATCCTGTGAAGCCGTGCCCATCCATGAAGATGCAATCCAACGGAAACCTACATCGCCTTCTTGCCCAGTGCATTTATATTCTGTACAAGCAATACATACACACCTGCTCCTGCTACTTCGACGTCATGTAAACACATGCAGGAACCTACTTGGTCTTGCAGAGAATCATCCACGGCCCCGCCATGTTTCAGATTCCTGAGCAGTATCTCAGCTGCCTCAATGCCAACCCTGTCAGCATTCTTTCCTAACAGAGAAATCCAGGAGATCAGGAGGCTGCCACTAATTAGTTAATGTTTTAAAAATACAGAAGGAAAAAGAGGAATCAAGAAATTATCAACTTTTTAAGCCTTACTTCCATGCTCTTGCCTCACATGTCTGTTAAAACCCCCTCCCACCCTACGATGACAGTTTGTGCTTCCCGAGCAGCAGATGGAAACCAGTGCCACTTAGAGAAACACATTATTCAAACCATTTAAACCCAAATCACTTCTATTCCTTTTCATCTAGATACACATCTGACCTCACTGCTGAGCAAACCACCACGGGTAAAACCCACAGGCTATGTGTTGCTCGAGTCCAGAAGCGTTTTCAGCTCGGCGATCCCTGACAATCCATTCTGACAAATGGTGAGTTTAATAATTTTGTAACCTTTTAATAATTTTTAATAATTTTAATAATTTTGTAACTAAGAAGCAGCTTAGTGCAGTGTGAGATTCCCTTCACTACGTTAAAACCTGCTCGTTGCCGCTGCCCTTTATTAGTAAACAACAGCCATTCAAAACCGCGAGTCGCAGCGTCCGATCTTTGAAGAGACTGCTCTTCAGCTTGCCACGTGTCAGCAGCACGGCAGTCACACCTGAGGGGGGTGCTTCAGGGGGCTCTTACCTCTCTTGCCAAGCGACGACCCAGCTAACAAACAGCCTGTCGAGGTCTCTGCAACAATGCTGAGCAGAAAAGCCAGAATCAGGATTAAGGACAAAGTCACTTGCGCTGCGCTGTATCGATCGGAGCGCAATCCAGATCTGGCTAACCAGCAGAGTTATGGGTAGCAATGGAAGCTGGGGCTCATCTTACATTATTCCACTCGCAGTCCCAAAGGCCTGATCATCAGGTTCTCGAACCGGCTGAATGTTGATGTAAAGATCTCTGATTTCCTTTCTGATGCATCTCACTGCTGCTGCCGACATGTCTTTTGCCAGCTGACAAATTAAGGGGCAAAAGCATTAATTAAATGATGTAACTACAGTAATCCTTTTTCCTCAAAAGTCTAATTATTACAGTGAATCCCTGAATAAAGGGGCTACTTTATTCACTAGAAAAACAATGGATGTTACAAAACCCCTGCAAGCAAGCACTGAACATCATCTCTCCTGAGAATTTCCCACAGAATCAAGGTAACAAAAGGCAGTTAGTCCTGTGTGTAGAAACTGTGATATCGACAGAAATTCCAGAACTTTTCTCTGTTCACAGGGAGAAACGTTTGATTTTAGTCTGATCACCTCAAGACATTAGATTGTCTTTTAAAAACCAAACAACCCCACAAGCCCCACCCCACAGCTGTTACACACAGGATGTACTCTGTAAGACACAGTCTCTAAAATAATAATTCTAAATCAGAGGCGGGTGGGGGCAGATGAAGCTTATCCCATCCCTGGGACTCAGTCCCAGCCGATATTCATTGGTTTGGAGATTTTAAGACCAAAGCCAGCAGCCTACAGCTCTTCAAAGAGTAACTCAGCTTCTCCTTTCTCTACTACTTCCTCGCCTGCACGGGAGTCGGAGCCTTACGGAGATGCCGCCACTTGTCCTCTGTAAGCACAGGCAGGATAGGAGCATAGAAAGATGGGGAACAAAGGAGCGACCTTCTCCACTTCACCTTTGGCTAAACCTACGCTTCACCTGTTCTGTCCAATGCGCTTGGCGGCGGCAGAAAAAGGGGATGCCGCCTGAGCTCTGGCTGTTACAGTCACTGCAGTTCCCCACAGATCCACGGGCGGGGGCCATGATTTCAGACTTAAAGTAAACCCCGTAACTAGGAATGATCTGTAACTCCGAGATCAGACACCCCTCAATGTATGCCAAAGAGCGGTCCCAGAAAGGATACTGAGGGCACCGCTCTCATGCCCTGTTTCAGCTGCTGCCACACTGCCGTGCAGTAAACGCACTTTGGAAATCTCCACAGTTCTGTTCTGGGGCCTGAAAAATTGAAACCATCTACTACGGCTGCTTGGGCTGTGTGTGACAGGCTGCAGAACACAGAACAGCAGGGCACGCTGAGCATTTTGCAGAGATACGCGGGGCTGGACATTGCCAGGGCTGTTTCCAGCACTTACTTTTATAGGCAGCGCTCCAGCAACGAACGCCCGTCCGTAGATCTTGGTCACTGTGCCGCGTTCCGTTAAGTTTATGGGGCTCAGCTCCTTGACGGGTGACATCTGGACTACAACCTCGCCGCCTCCCTGAGGATAGTAGCCCCTGTTTAGAAACAGTAATCACATGTAATTAAGTGCAGAGATCACAGGGCAGCCAAAAAAGAGCCAGAAGGCTCCTTGCGACTTCATTGTTCATTTTCCCGTTCTCTGTTACAGTACGTACGCATTTGCTTGATCTGTGCCTTAGAAATCGTTCTAACAGAATGAGGTTCTCTGGCAGTATTACCTCGTAACACACATCGTACTAACGACCCAACACCAACATCACTGGCACCTCCGAAGCAGCTCAGTCGCGTACTGCCCGTTCAGCACGCACTTCCCTCGGGTAGAGCCCAAAGGAACATGAAACAACAGCTGAGGACTCGGCCACAAACAACCCACCAGGAAAGAACCGTATGGCCCATCCCATGGTGACGGAACCCGCAGGGGCAGCTCGTGTGGGGTAGATCGGCTGTCATAAATTCGTCCCTCAGCTTGACCAAGGGTGTCATGGGTGTGTGCACAGTGGGGACTCCCCTGCCACATCTCTCCGTCACTCACCTCTTTTTTATGTCACAGTCAAATGTGAAATTGAACTTTTCAACTATTGGCTTGAAAACCTGAAAAACGAGCATATACAAAACCACATTTTGCATGTGTGATTTCCTGCTATTTTATGCAGTCTTCAAAAGAACAATTCAAGACAAAAGTTTCAGTTACACACACCCAAACCAGCCAACCACTCTCAACCCCAGAGCTGACGTGACATTCCTCACACCATGCTGAATGACACTTGGTTTAAGAGGGTTTTCTTAGGAAAAGAGGAAAAGAAATTCTAAGCCATTCACAGCACTTCTAGAATAAAGAATGTATTTGAAGTGAAATTTTAATAACTGAAAGCAGACAGACTAGCTGCTGTTCCAGGGAATTCCATGCAACACCGGGTGCTCTCCACATCCAGCACGCTAACAGTGTTGTTCCCATGCCTAATTCCATAGTTACCAAAATGCGTGCAGCACGAGCTACAGATGCACAGCGCTCACATGGCACATGTATGTGCGGGAGAGGCACGGAGCCAGGGACAGGTTTTCCTACCATGACTGTGTAGTCTATCTGAGGAGCCATCTCGGCATTAGTCCCGCCTTTCAGATGGAGCTGGGATGGGGAAGCAGCAAACAGCACACAGGGCATCGCTACCTGCATCAGCAGACACACGCTCCTAAAAGCAATCACAGGATACTCAAAATGCATCTTCCAAAGATAAGTTTGTCCAGTACAACACAACAGTTAGCGCACAGGGGTCGCGAACATCCCTGTGAGCCGTGAGAACAGCAGTCGTCACTGAGATGAAGAAAACGGGGTTTTGTGCTCTTAAATAACTTCCATGCTTGTGAACCATACTGATGGTATTTTTTTTAATTGTCTGCTTCTGCTTAATTACTAATTCTTCTGCACTGTTGCTTACTCGAACCTTTCTGTGTTCAGTAAAAGGCATCAGCTTGGTTGTTCATGCCACTACAGCTCAGAAAAATAGTTCTCTGCACTTAGAGGGAACTGTAACTCGTGCCATCCCCCTTATGCTTTCAAACAGCCGCTCACACCAGCCTTCCCTGGCTAAACCCGTGTGCGCCGTCTTGATTCCAAGAACAAAGGACCCAACACAGAAACATGGAAGAAACACAGGTGAAGAGAACCATGGACAGAGCATGCTCCTGGTTGCAAAAATACTGAACTGTTACGACCATAAGTAACATCTCAAAATTTACTGTATTATATGATGATGATTTCAGATCTTACAGATTTGAGATGTTTATCCAACTTGATGCACTTGACTCGATACGTAATGTACTAGTGGGAGAAAATAACGGATAAAGCTTTACATATGTGGGCAGCAGGTTTCTGCTTAACATTAATCTGGTGTCCAACTTGTACATGGATTACAATTTTAAGCTGCGACACCTGCATGAGCGTCATCCTGTTACACTAAAGGTGCTTTGGTCACACGTATCTGGCTCGGGCAGCGCAGACTTGGGCTCCTTCCCCACGCGTTCCTCAGGGGTCGGTGTTG